GACTATAGTGAAGAAAATGAAAAGCCAATAATAGAAGATCAAAATAATGTTATCTCTCCTTTGTGTGCGGTACAAGAAACTTCGGAAAATGAGATAGTTGTATTTTTCACACAACAAAAAATGTCTTCTCACCTTTCACAGATCAGTACAATTAGTACCGCCAATGAGACGGAAGTGAAATCAACCTGTAACGATAATGACGAAGAATCATCATCGTCTCCTCCTAATCAGGAACTAGAAGACACAGAAACGATTCCCCCGATAATTGTAAATAAGGTAAATGAACAAGTTATAGAAATGATGAGTCGTTAAAACAGATATTCTTTTTGGCCTTTCCAATGACTAACTTAATCTATATGCGTAGGATGGAGATATCATGACTGACACAAAAATGATGCATGACAGGTATCTAAGAATACGTCGGGATCTATGTGACTATTCTTCACAGAAGGATGTAAGTTAACCACGGATCCGCATCAGTTTCAGGAAAAAAAAATTCTGTATTGATCATTGCTTTGCCCTTTTAGTGGTTTATTGAGGACTACAATGTTTCGGACGGATTTCGCAAATATCAAATTAGTAATATTGACAAACTAGTAGCTGGCGAAACTTTTAACTTTGCATCAAGCAGTGAGGCGATCTTGTAAGTATAATTGAGTATGATTGATTTACATCCTAAGGATGTCTGATTATCTAACAAATTCTTTTTATTATAGGTCCCTTCACAATATCATGTTTATTGACTCAACAACAATGAAAAAACCTTTGTACTTAGATATAGATGATGAACGAAAATGGCGTATTTCTATACGTCAGCCAAGGCAACAAACTCCACCCAGTTTCCTCGGAGAAATAATGGACGAATATGAAGCGGTATTGTCATGTGTTTAGCACATGCGGACCTGTGATAATTATAATCTAATATCTTTTTGCAATCAAAAATAGGAGATAAATGATATAGATGAGCTTCGTTCCAAGTTCTATGATATGTGGGGGAAATATCGTGACAAAGTCATTTATTCGGATAATGAGAGGCGTTTGTTTGAAGCTATCCAAGCAGTTGCACGTGCATTGTAAGATTCTTGGATTTTAATCTTGTATTTTTCTTGCCGTTTCTTTCCAATAACTACCATATGATCTTTTTCTTCAAGCTTTGAAAGGATGCACATGTATCCAGATTCAAGGAACAAAAACGAGGATACGTTTGTACATGACTATGTACATGACGTTTTTAAAGAAATGTTCCGTGATCCGAATTATGAGATTATTTGGTAATAAAATTTTTTGAGATTTTTTGTATTTAATCATTGACATTGTTCTTTATCTTTACTTGTTCTTTATTTAACAGGGCAAACACCGAAAGTCTATCTTCAAGAGAGCACCGAGCGACTTACGGACGTTCCAAAGGCAGAAAACCAGACATTACAATATATCGAGTTATGAAAAAAGACGAAAAGGAAGAAACATGTAAAGTTGAACGTGAAGAAACGTGCTTCGTAGAAGCCAAACATTTATCAGTCACGAGAAATAGCAAAATTGGAGGCTACAATCTTTATAAAGTAGCCATCCTTTGCCAGGGGGGCATCAACAGAATAATTTATTCACGTGGAAACACACCAAAACTTAAGTCCTTTGGAGGACATATTTGTGGTAAATCTATTCTTTACACTTTTTTTGTGTTTCCAGTTCGTTTCCGGTTTTTTCTAATTCACTTTCTGTTAAAACATTATAGAAGGTTACATCTATTTGGGAACGATGGACCTAGAGTATGACGGGATTTACCGATACTTTCAACTCTCCGAAATTAAACTCGCTCAGAAACTTTCTGAGTTTAACCTCGTGAGAAAGTTAATTATAGAAACATTTTATTTCAAGGTAAATCTCTTTTTGATAATGTCAAAAAATTTGAGTTTCCATATACTTATTCTTTTTTTGTTTGCTATCCAGTGTCGGATTGATAGTTTTTATTCTAGTGAAAATAACAAGAGATTATCTGACAATATTTCTTGCCATAATAGCTTCTCCCGTGAACCAACAATCACACCGAAGGCATGTAGAAGTACGATGATTCCAGTTGTTAGCTTGATTGAAAAAACTACGAAAACCAATAATTGTAAAACATAAATTTTTAAATGTTATTATAGTGGTTTGTTATGGTTAATTTTCTCGGAAGTATCTTTTTCTGTTTCCAAGGCTTTTTTAATTCTCATTGCTATATAATTAGGGAAGAAAACCAAAATATTTAGTTATCAGGTTAATATATGTCAAGAAATGATTAGCAAGTTTAATGAAGCTTTAGGTTTCTTATTTCGTAAAAAATACAAAATGGATTTCGTGTATGTGATGCAAAAATTTTTTTTGGCAAGTGACCTGCATTACAAATTGTAACGCGCATGTGATTTATAAATTACATGAAAGAGAGGCCTAACTAAGGATGAAAAAGATTATGTAATGGCCGAAATCTTAAAACGAAAGGTTTGTTAATATACTGATCCATTTCTTCTGCGCAATTAAGTCACCGTGTCCAGACTCTACCATCAGAAAAAACAGAATTTCGTTCACGTGTATTCTCAAACATATAATAAAGCATTTGCATATCCCACCATATCGGGCTTTATTTTTTAGATATGTATAACTGATTGCCAAACATCATGTAAAATAATTTGCCTGAGCCCGGACACCGTGTCCAGACTCTACCATCAGATAGTCATATGTACAATGACTTACGAAGTGCCTTAACGGCCAGCTATTTCGGGAGATAAATTTAACCTGAGCTTGTATGCGTGTCCAACAGAAAAATATAGGCTTCGGGAGATAAATTTAACCGGACAAGCTTGTCCAGGCTCTACCATCAGAATAATATATTTTTTGCACGTGCATTTTATTCGTAATCATTTCCCGAATTCCCGTTATGCTTATCCAGCTAAAGAAAAAAATCCGAAATTTGTTTGGCCGATCATCTCGTTATCTATGTGAAAGCGTAAGTCAAAAAGAAATTAACTAGATATTAATAATACACAATCGCGTAAAATAAAAAATTGGGAGCCCAGCGGACCCCCCTCCCTTTATTATTATAAAAAATTATATTGCCGAGACGACAACATACAAATAAAAAATATATATATCGCTGTTACAGGTGCGAATACAAATAAAAAAAAAATTATCTTTGATGAACAAGGATATGGATGCGATTTCCTAAATCATTAATATCAAAATATTGTGAAACCATATTTTGCGGATCCATATATTTTCTTACATCTCGAGCGGTATCATTTACGTAGAGATCAAAATCGGTAAAAGGAACGTTATTTCTAATCATATTTTTAAGGTTGGCGACTGTCGTATTTGGGGGAATATTAATTGAATAATCACTGCTGACACGATAATTTAAAGTAATATCCTCCATTTTCGCTTTCTAACATAAAAATAAATAGTAAGTAGAAATTCGCTTTCGAAAAAAAAACATATAACAAACAATGTATGTTAACCAGACCTTGAGAGTAAATTTTAAATAAGTTAAGCCAAAAAAATATATAAGAGCAACGTTATTGCTAACTTACCTTGTGAGCAAATCCGCTTATTTTTATACCTCATATTCGTTAGGTCTGAGAACCTGCCAGAAAGAAAATGCACGATTAGTAATTACGTTACCCAAATCCAACGCCAGTTTTTTTCTCCATAAAGCAACTCCGCTCGGTCATAAGTTCCAAACACTGATCTTTGTTATTTTTCTGGTAAAATTAACCCCCCTTAGATTCGACGATCGCTTAAGGTAGATTTAGATCTGACGATCTCG